TTCCAGCGAGACAATGACCAACACAAAGCACGGGGGTTCTCTCCGTCTCCTACCTTGCTGCATATAACGTATATATTATATTACAGCGGAGAAAAGGCTTGCATAAGATGCACAAGATACAGTCAAGCACAGATTGTAAACTTGTGGGGACGATTACTTTGGTTATATTTGTCCTTGTCCATGGGCAAATTTGGTGGACGAGAGTAACACAAAAAGAAATTTCAGATCAACGACAACTCGATTACTGATTTCATGAACGATTCAGGAACGTCAAATTATACGAAAAAACTCCGAGTCTATCCGCAAAGACGTAAAAAATGAAAGGGTGATGAGGTCTCAGTTAACCAAAAGCTAAGGGAGCCTCTGAATTCTAGGCACCTCTCACTGCAAGCAGGACGGAAGTTCACTGAATCAAAGGCATCTCAGCACAGGAGCTCCGGGAGGTGTTTCACAATCAAACAAATCTAAAGCCAAAACGTAATTAAGTAGTATTGTAATTTAGTAATTATTTTATTGCTCCTGAGTAAAGGGTTCAAACTATGGCAACCGCCCTGGCATTGCCCTTGGTGATGCTTTCGTGGAGAGGGAGATTATAAGCTGCCAAACTATCTCGACAGTGACTAATTGTACCCAGCAACTTCACATGTAATACTGTACATGTAACCAGCATTTTTTAATGAAAGTTCTACATCAGCGCTCGACTTTAGCTGCAGGTGTTGCCAGTGATGTCTGTCACTTTGCTTTGGTTTTATAACGTAATTATTTTGGTGTTTTCCCTTGAATACGGAATGAGTCAATGAAAGCTTCATTTTAATCGTTAGCTTAAGAATTCATAGATCCACCCCGTTGATACATTCATAATAACTGCATAGTGGTACGTTTTAAAAGTAGTGTATAGGATTTGCGTGTACTGCAATTTGTCAAAATAAGCCGATTTGGGAGTTTGTCATTCACTTTGCGTATTATTTCATTCATTATTTCATTTTCTAAGTTCACTGCTTTAAGAAAAAATAAAGAAAAACGCTGTTCTTTTTTAAACTGGAGTTAATAGCTATTGCATAGCGTTTGTTTCCTCACTTGAGATGGCGCCGCGTTTTGCTCGTTCAAAAAACAAGTGTTTATCGATGTCTGTTAACAGTTCGAATATAACAGCTGAATGTTTCAATAGAGCATCCCAAGATAAACCTGACGATATGTAGTACATGTAGTTAGCTGGGTCAAGGCCGTAATGCTTTTTGCAAACCTTTAGAAAGTTTTCAAACACGCACGCGAGTAACAACGCGTCTGTTTCAACGTATAAATCGTGGTAATCGCCTAGAGTTTCCAATACATTTTTGACTCTTGTATATTCTTCTTTATATACAGCCTCTTGCTTCAACGAACTATAAAAAGCGTCTCGAGGTGGCAAACTGGTTTCTTTAAATCTATCAAATGAATCGATGTACTTGTATGGATATATGCCCTTTTCCAAAAGCATCTCTGTGTTGTTTGGGAACCTTTCGTAGAGTAATTTAAAATTGAGTCTGGATCAATTTTTAACCAATCGATCGAGCGAAGCAGCCATGAAATGGAACGAGTCTAGGAATCTAAGCTGACCAAACGAGAACGAGATATCAGTTTCGGAGATTTTGGCAATGACTTTGATTTGGCTTCCGTTGAACGCGTATGCACCCTGCATAATTAAATGTGCGTCGTATTTTTTTCCAAGTTGTGCAACACGACTGGAATGGCTGTTTGCTTAGCTACAATTCGAAGTTTGATATTGTATTTAGAATGCGCTGGACCACGATAAATGAGCGGCTGCGTCTTGGCCTCGGTAAGTTTTGCGACTCGTACATACACCGTCACATCGTACGACAGCGTAAGAATAACTGCATGGTTTGTGGTGTTGGGTTCTAATTGTGTTGGTTTGTTCTGGTGCGAGAGGTTCTAAATCAGATTCAAAATCTGCGTGAATGACAAAAGGAGTGCCTTGTTTGTTTTTGAAGTTTGATCGCCTTTTTCAGGAAGCACGACTTTGGAAGGTTCTGCGTCCATGCCTTGACAGTCTTCTTTGTGGTTATCGAGTTTTTATTGTGTTTGAAATTGTAAAAAAAACACCCAAAGCAGAAATATTTTTAACAGTTGTGTTTATTGACATCTCCCATCAACCGAGAAAAAAAAATTAATCCAACAATGGTGAGCTTTCTCACCTCGATTAAAGTAAAAGTAAATTGATGGGGTCGCTCACGACTTTGGTCTTGTGAAGCATAAATACACCGTCTTTTCCGGTGTAACCAAATACGTTGATCGCCAAGTTGTTTTGAGCTTCAATGCGTGTAATTGTGATATTGGGGTGGGAAAGTCTACGTTTGTAAAGTTTAAAACGTCGTCTGTTGTGTACGTTGAAGTTCTAACCTCGTGTATTTTATAATTTGAGTTGATTGATAGCTGATGTTTAACTTTGTCTGTGTATAATCTTTGAGCCGCTCTTATCGCCCAACGTATGCACTCTTGACCTTTTTGAATTGAACGTTAATGATTGCAGTTTTAGCCGCTAGTTCTTTAGGAAGTGGAAGTAAGTCGCTTCTACTGGATTATAGCGCGCCACATTGATGTAAAACGCAACGATTTTATCAAACACCCAGCCAGATCCCTGTTGGGTATGGGCTTCCACGTCTTCTATCCGTTTTTGTCTTTGTTCCTCTAAAGCGTTTTTGATCTCTCATTCAGAAAATACCGTGATATTTTCACTCATAAATGTAAAAATACCAACTGTGGCTTCCGCTTCGGGCGTTTGTATTTTAAACTGAACCTTGATCGTAGTTTGCAACTTGTAACTTTCTATCTCGCGAAATTCAGCCACTGTTTTCTTTTCGATGTATCTTTTGCAAAAATCAAAAAAGTGTACCAAGTTGTCTTCAAAGAAACTAGGCTTCAGTTGTCAATTTCTATATTTACCTTGAAAGTGTTGGACGTTTTGGATGTCTACCTCTGCCATCGATTCTGGTCGAGTGTCAAAAAAATTCAAAATTTTATTAAACCCACTCTCAAATTTGAGAGTTGGGTTAATTTTATTTTAAGATTAAGACCGTGCCTTTTTATACCATACGCTTTATATTTAAAATGGTTGTGACAACATTTATATAACCTCGGTGTACAAATTCTACACGCAGATTTATATGTTTTGTATTCGCAAGATAAACCTCAAGAGATAGAATCTTGCATACACTCCTGGCATTTATATTTATATAAACCGTGTTTGCACGTTCGCCATTTTTCATTGCGTGTAATACATTTTAAACAACTGTTTGTATGTGATTTATTAATTTGATTTTTAACTGCTTAAATTCCGCGAGTTGGTTTATCATATGCCAATATTTTTCATTTTTATTTTATAATCAAACCAGTTTCGAGATCATGCTTCGTCTGCCTCACCGAGCAAATGCTGCACGTCTTGTTTCGCTTGCGTGGGGGAGATTTTTTTTAAATTTTTTTTTCGTCGAGGTGGGTTGAGTAGGTACCCAAGGGGAAAAGGGTGGTCTGAAACTCTCTTTTCTATACTACTGACACTTCTCGAAGTCATGGGGGAAAATGTATTTTTGAGGGTCATAACTGGTGTGAAGAGTGCAGATTGACCTCGCTTGCGCATTGTCCACGTACTCAGGATTGTCATGTGGCCCATGGAATTTTGCGAGACAAATAACACAAGCTAAGCTTGAAGTGTTTTAAAAGACCATGATCCAGACAAACCGACGTCGTACATCATGTATCTAGACGCGAATAATTTGTACGGGTGGGCCATGAACCAGTACCTACCTACTGGAAATTTTAAATGGGTTCGAGCATAAGACAAGTTTATCCCGGAATATATTCAAAAACTTTCACCCAGTTCCACAACGCTTTATATGCTAGAAGTAACTTTAGATTACCCACAGCACTTACACGATTTACACAACGACTTCCCACTTGCACCAGGAAACATTTCAATCCCGAGCGAAAGGCTGTCAGACTACCAAAAAGACTTGGTTTTTATCACGGTCAAAATATAACTTTTGTAGGCAAACTCACAGCCACGCTTTTGACCAAACGCAAATACATCGTTCATTATCGCACGATGCAAAAATATCTAGAGTTAGGTTTACAGTTAAAAACGGTTCACCGCGTAACGTAATTCGAACAAGCACCCTGTATGAAAAGTTACATCGATAAAAACACCCAGTTGCGCAACGAGCCGATTCTGATTTCCACAAAGTGTTTTTTAAAATGACGAACAACTCAGTGTTTGGCAAAACGATGGAAAATGTGAGAGACCGAATCAACGGAGTTCTACTGAGAGACGAGCAAGATGCCAAATAATATAAACGCTTAATTTATAAACCCTACTACAAATCAACCACGCCATTTCCGGGGTGCGATCTCTCAAATGCATTGTATCATATCTAAGTTGAACAAACGATCTATTGCGGCGTAAGCGCTTGATCTGTCTAAAACGTTGATGTACGAGTTCTATTACAACGTGCTAAAATCAGACTTTGGAAACGCGTCTGTCTATTGTAACCGATACCAACAGC